AAATAAAACTAGGCAATCAACTTACACCATACCCAAGAATGAACTCAAAATGGATAAAAGACTTAAATGTGACCCATGAATCCATAAAAATCCTAGAAGAAACTGTAGGCAACAAAATTTCAGACATCATACGCAGCAGAATTTTCACTGATACATCACCTAAGGCAACAGAAACAAAAGAGAAAATGAACACATGGGACTACATCAAACTCAAAAGCTTCTGCACAGCAAAAGAAACAACCATCAGAACAGAAAGGCAACCCACTGTATGGGAGAACATCATTGCCAATGATACATCAGATAAAGGGTTAATTTCTAAAATATATAGAGTACTCATACAACTCAACAAAAGGAGGACAAAGAACACAATTAAAAAATGGGCAGAGGAGCTGAATAGACACCTCTCCAAAGAGGACATACAAGTGGCCAAGAGACATATGAAGAAATGCTCATCATCACTAATCATCAGAGAGATGCAAATTAAAACAACAATGAGGTATCACCTCACACCTGTCAGAATGGCCGCCATCAACAAATCATCAAACAACAAGTGTTGGCGAGAGTATAGAAAAAGAGGGACTCTAGTACACTGCTGGTGAGAATGCAGACTGGTGCAGCCACTATGGAAAACAATATGGTGTTACCTCAAAAGATTAAAACTTGAATTTCCATTTGACCCAGTGATCCCACTTCTAGGAATATACCCTAAGAAGCCTGAAACACCAATCAGAAAGAATATATGTACCCCCATGTTTGCAGCAGCACTATTTACAATAGCTAAGATCTGGAAACAGCCCAAATATCCATCAGTAGACGAATGGATAAAAAAGCTGTGGTAAGCCCTGGCCGGTTTGGCTCAGCGGTTAGAGCATCAGCCTGCGGTCCACAGAGACCCGGGTTCGGTTCCCACTAAGGGCATGTACCTTGGCTGCAGTTTGTCCCCGGCCCTGGTTGGGTTGTGTGGGTGGCGGCCACTTGATGTGTCCCTTTCACATCGATGTTTCTCTCTCTCTCTCTCTCCCTCTCTCTCCCTTCCACTCTATCTGAATAAAAAATGGAAAAATGTCCTCTGGTGAGGATAAAAAAAAAAAAAAAGCTGTGGTACATATACACAATGGAGTACTATGCAGCTGTAAGAAAGAAAGATCTCTCATCCTTTGAGACGACATGGAGGGACCTGGAAAGTATTATCCTAAGTGAAACAAGCCAAGCAGAAAAAGACAAATACCACATGATCTCACTTATTTATAAAATATAATGAACATAACAGTCTGAGGAATTGGGTAGACCCAGAAACATGGAAGTAGGGTACAGACTGACAACCCTCACAAGAGGGAGTGGCGGGGGGAAGTAAGAGATAAACCACAGAACTTATATGCATGTACACATAACTAATGGACATGGAAAACAAAGCCGGGGACGGGGCGAGGGGGATGGGGAGTAGGGTGTCAGTGGGGTAAAAAAGGAGAAACATCTGTAACAAAAATAAATAAATAAAAAGAAACAAGTGTTAAGTAGACTACAGAGGATAATGTAATAAGAGCTAACACTTAAGAGTGGTGGGGCTTTTTTTTAATTTATTTTTTCTTTATTGATTTGAGAGAGAGAGGAAGGGAGAGGGAGAGAAAGAACATCCATTGGCCACCTCCTGCATGCCTCCCACTGGGGATCGGGCCCACAACCTGGGCATGTGCCCTGACTGGGAGTCAAGCCAGCAACCTCTTGGTGCGTGGGTTGACACTCAACCACTGAGCAACACCAGCTGGGCTTTTTGTTTTGTTTTATTTTGCTTTGTTTTAAAGAAGAACCTATATATTCTATAACCAGTGTTGTTTTTTTCTTACACCCACTTCCATCCCCCTCACATAAACTCCAGTTATCTTTTCTTCCCCAACTTTCCCCGACATTTCCTTCACAGTTCCTCACTGTGATCACTTAATGGTGGAGTATCTTTCTCTTTTGAATAGGGCTTTAATTGCTTCATTTGCAAAATTAAGCTCAAGCTGTGATAAGTGGATTCATGTTTTGTTTTCACTGTACTCTCACTACATGGAACAGTGTCTGACATATTTGTTGAATCAGTAAATTAATTCTTTTTTTAAAAAGTCTGAAACTGGTCACAGCACGGTGGCCACTGCCATTTTGTTACAGAACCCACAGTCTCTATCCCTAGCAACCAGAACAAAGATTGAGACGGGCCTGAGGAGCTCCAGTAAGGGACAGCATGGCAGGCAGGAAAAACCCTGAGCTTTTTCTCCTGGGGGCTTGCACGATAATTAGCCTAATGCAAGCCAATGCACTGTGTGAACGAAAGGCTCTTATAGTATGTACGTAGTTCAAAACCGAGATCCCTGTGGCAAAATGCAGAATGAATTTGTTTAAGGTCCACATATTCAGCTGTATTTCAAGTTACTGCAATACCAACAGGAAGGAAGACTGGATGACAGAAGGTGAAAAGATTAGCCAAAGAATATATATGCATAACCCATAGACACAGACCACAGTTGGGTGATGGCCAGAGGTGAGGAGGGGGTGAGGGCTGGGTGGAAGTGGGCAAAGGGCGGCGAGGAATGGGGACATCTGTAATAGTATCAACAATAAAAATAAAATTTAAAAAATACCGTTATCACTTCTGGTCAAGATGGCAGCGTAGGTAAACGTGGTATCGTGTCCTCCCACAACCACATCAAAGTTACAACTAAACTACAGAACAACTATCATTCAAAACCACCTGAAATCAAGCTGAATGGAAGTCCTACAACTACGAAATTAAAGCAGTAGCCACATCCAGACTGGTAGGAGGGGCGGCGGCGCGTGGGGCGGCGGCGGCGCAACAGGCTGGTCCCACACCCAAGTGTGGCGGATAAAAATCAAGAGGATACCTCGGCTGGGAAGGCCCTTCCTGAGGACTGAGGGGTCCCCGTCCCACACCAGGTGCCCTGCTCAGGGTTCCAGTGTCAGGAGGGGAGTCCCCATAACTTCTGGCTGGAAAAACCAGCAGGAACTGAGGCTCAGGGAAGCTGAAGCGGCTGGAGCCCCAGGCAGCTCCCTAAAGGGCCCGTGCACAAACTTATCGGACTCTCTCCCTCTAAGCTTGGAGGGGAGGCAGCTCAAGGGGCACCAGAGTCATACAGGGAAGAACTGAGCTGTTTGGCACTGGAGCGAGGGCTGGAGAGGGGGTTTTCTCCGGGACAAACATACTGTCAGAGGCCTTTGTTCCTTTGGTGAGCCCTGCCCTGGGGCGGCAGACAGTCGCCATATCTAGGACTCCAGCAACCTGGCTCACACTGGTAGCCCCGCCCTGGTGACTCCCTGAGGCCCTGCCCCACCCCACCCAACTTTCAAGCCCACCCAAGCTGTTGCCACTTGCTTAACCATAGGATTGGCCTGTCTTGGATCCTGCTTCAGGCTTTTTCTAAATTCTTTCAAACGAGCAGCATCTGGTCTCAGCGAGCCCCATATCTCTCATTAAGTCATACACTGAAACAAACACAGGGAGGCAGCCAAAATGAGGAGACAAAGAAACAGGTCCCAGATGAAAGAACAGAACAAACCCCCAATAAAAGAACTAAACGAAATGGAGATAAGCAACCTAAAAGATACTGAGTTCAAAATACTTCTTATAAAGATGCTCAATGAACTTAGTGAGAACCTCAGTGAACTTAGGGAGGGCCTCAAGAGCATAAAAAAGGAACAGTTAGAAATCATGAATACACAGTTAGAATTGAAGGAGGCATTAACTGAAATAAAGAATAATTTATACAGCTTCAATAATAGAGTACGTAAATCCAAGAAGCAAACCATCGATTTGGAATATAAGGAAGCAAAAAAATGCCCAATCAGAACAGCAAAAAGAAAAGAGAATCCAAAAAAATGAGGATAGTGTAAGGAGCCTCTGGGACAACTTCAAGCGTGCCAACATTCGCATCTTGGGGGTGCCAGAAGGAGAAGAGTGAGAACAAGAAATCGAAAACCTGTTTGAAACAATAATGGCAGAAAACTTTCCTAACTTGGTGAAGGAAACAGACATACAAGTCCAGGAAGCACAGAGAGTCCCAAACAAGATCAACCCCAAGAGGGCCACACCAAGACACATCATCATCAAAATGCAAAAGGTTCAAGACAAAGAGAGAATCTTAAAAGCAGCAAGAGAAAGGCAGCTAGTTACCTACAAGGGAGTTCCCATAAGACTGTCAGCTGATTTCTCAAAAGAAACTTTGCAGGCCAGAAGGGAGTGGCAAGAAATATTCAGAGTGATGAAAAGCAAGAACCTACAACCAAGATTACTCTATCCTGCAAAGCTGTCATTTAGAATCGATGGCCATATAAAGAGTTTCACAGACAAGAAAAAGTTAAATGAGTTCATCACCACCAAACCGTTATTATATGAAATGATGGTCTTTTTGAAGAAAAAGATAAAATATATGAACAAACAAAATGGCAATGAATACATATCTATCAACAATGGAATCTACAAACAAAATGAACACGTAGAACAGAAATATTCTCATAGATACAGAGAACATTTTGTTGGTTGCCAGATGGAAGGGGGGTTGGTGGAATGGGTGAAAAAGGTGAAGGGATTAAGAAGTACAAATTCATTGCTAGACTGACAAACCTCAAAGGGAAAGGAGTTGGGAGTGGGAAGAAATAAACCAAAGAACTTATATGCATATATGCATAACCAATGGACACAGACAACAGTGTGGGGAAATGCAGGAGGGGGGCGGGAATAGGGAGGGGGCGTCAATTGGGGAAAAATGAGGAACATCTGTAATACATTCAACAATAAAGTTAAAAAATATATACCAACAGGCAGTCAGCAAAAAAAAAAAAAAAGGACGGGAAGAGGTGGAAAGGTTCTGGGCCTAAGATTTACACTGAACAAAGACCCAGGACAAGATGGCGCCCTCTACGCACAGCGGGAGCAGGGAAAAAGTCCACGCGCGAGGGGTGTGCACGCGCCTGGGCTCGACCGGTTACTTTCGGTCCAAACTCACATGCCCTGGGGCATCCAATAAGTGCTGTAGTTAGACTCCACCCCTGTTTTCCGCCACTCCTTGAGCTCAGGGGCTCCAGGCGGTTAGCAGGATGCTAGCTGCGCAGGCGCAAAAAGCTCCTCCTTTCACGCAACTGACGCAAGGAGACTGTAATCGTTTCTCAATTTATCCCGTGTGACCTTGAGTCTTTGTTGCCGCTGAGGACCAGGGCTGTCCAAGGTGTTGCCTTTATAGTTCCCTTAGCCATCTTGCCTCTCACTGGGCTCATACCTGCTGCAGCGAGAACGGAAGGACATACTTTTTCAACCGTCATGCTGCGGAGCGTGGTAGGCGTACGCCTTGACTCCGGCAGCAGCGGTCAGGTAGTCTCTGGTCAGGCAACGCAGCCAGCACCTCAGTGGAAGAGTGGGCCTCCAGGCCCCAGCGACCAACCCCCGCCCTCTCCACCCCACGTGGTTGGAGGTTTCCAGAAGCGTTTCCACCGCCGCGCAGCTCACGGCTGTCCGAGTGACTTTTTGCTGCCTCGTACTCTCACCGTCTAGCCGCCATGATAAGCGCCAGCCGAGCCGCGGCATCTCGTCTTGTCGGCGCTGCAGCCTCCCGAGGCCCCAAGGTCTCCTGCCACCAGGTAAGAAACTGCCGGGCCTTCCCCCAGGGCTCCCGGCTCACTGTCTTGGGCCTTGGAGCAGCAGGCCGCGCGCCCTTTAGGGTCAGACCCTTTGGGAGAGATCAGGTAGGAAGGAAGGTAACGGTCCTTTTGTAATCAGCGCTGCCGGTTCAAGGTCTATTTCAGGGTTTTTCCTCCGTGCCTCGGGCTCTGCTGAGTCACACCCCTCACTAGCGTGCAGGCTTATTTCACGAAGTAGTGGATGGTGGTCTTGAGAGTCGGTCCTGTGACTTACTGGACAAGTTTGGCCTTGGGGACGAGAGACACAGTTCTTCTTCGGAGAAAACTGCTCCTCTAGTCTGTCTTTTCTCCTACGAATTAGAGATGATTGTCGTCTTCTGTGAAATACAGAGGGTGCAAGGACCCTGTCGCTATGATGAAATGAAGGAAGAACGCACCGTAATAAATCGAAAATCAAGCTTAGGTTCTTTTTCTTAAGAATGTTTATGTGTTAGTTTCCCAGAATCTTTGGGGTAAGATGGTTCTCTGTTACTTCAAAAAACGTAAGCACGTTAAGAAAAGGCAATGGTGCTTGTTACTATGTAATATCAGAAATATACATCATTGGAGAACTGGGTTAAAGGAATGCTTGGAAGTAGCCTGAGGTTAGGTCCTAACAGGTTTTTTTTAATCCTGGTTGGAGGCCACTCCTGAAAAAAATTTTTTTTCTGAACGGATTCCAGGGGATTCTAATCCTCTGTTTGAAGCAGTTGCTTGGCAGAGTCAGAGGAAATATCTCTAAATAACTTAAATTTATACTTGCAATACACGCTTATATATGTAGGGCTTAGGTGTACACTGCCCTTACAGTAAAATTGTGAGCTTTCTGAGTAGTATTTTGTAATGCAGTAATTCACAACTAGGGCAGTTTTGACTCCCCAAAGGACATTTGGCAATGCCTGAAGAAAATAGTGATTGGCACAACTTGGGGAGCCATGCTACTGGCTTTTGGTAATAGAGGCCCAGGATGCTGCTAAACATCCTTCAATGCACAGAAGAGCTCCCCTCCCACCCCCCCAATAATTATTTGGTTCAAAATCAATAGTGTCGAGGCTGAGAAACCATGTTGTAATGTAATTCAAGACCATCTTATATCTACTTACTTTTATCTATTTTTATCTGGCATATTTGGAAAACTTACACTTTATTTGCTCTTTCAGTACCACAGTGCCTCTTATACATGAAGTATGTTATAATCTCAGTATACTTTATACACAATAGTCACTCTGTTAAATAGAATGAAAGTCTCAAACTTTTGTTTGTTCTTCAGAAGAATAATTCGAACAACTCAAGTTTTCATGTGTAGTAATTGCTGATGTGATTTTTTTCCCCCCTTTTTTAGGATGGCTGGAATGGCCTAAGTCATGAGGCTTTTAGGATTGTTTCAAGGCGGGATTATGCGTAAGTGTAACTTCATTTTCTTTGAGAGGTAAATATTAAAGGCCAGAGCAGTGGTCTCTAAGTTTGTGATGAACCATTCTGCTCAGGAACAAATGACACATCTATGTTTAATTTCAGGTTATGTAATATGCCACTATTTCCACAGTATCCAATATTTTCTTATGTATTCCTGTAACCATTTTGGAGACCACTATTAAAATGATAACTGTAGCATTGTTTAAATGTCTTACAGATCAGAAGCAATCAAGGGAGCAGTTGTTGGTATTGATTTGGGTACTACCAACTCCTGTGTGGCAGTTATGGAAGGTAAACAAGCAAAGGTGAGAATGATGGGAAGCTCTGGTCATGTAATGGTAGCTAGTACCCAAGTTTTTAAGACTCTTGAGGTGAACCTTTGTGCTTAATTGCATGGTGCTGATAATTGAATGGATTTGACTCCTCAGGATTTAAGTGTATCCTTTGGGGCTATTAAGTTACCATTAGAACCCATTGGGATGACTTGCAGATAGATTACAGATTACTTCAGTTATCAATCCTGCACTTTTGTAAGTCAGTTGAACAAAGATTAGAGTTGCAGAAACAGTCTAGAAGCAAGTGGAGCTCCACATAACACATGGGCCACATCCGAAGTAAATCGTGTCCTTGGTGCTTTCTGCTCTGGTAGTCTGTTCTTCCAGAAGCCTCCCTACTCTTTTCATGAAACTTTTATTCCCATTAGTCTTAAGATTTAGAGCACCTGGGATTCTTGAGTTGCTTCTTGGCAATTTTTTTTAATATGCCTGAAACTTTTAGCCGTTACATAAAAAAAATGAGAAGTGGATTTAATTCCCCTGGAAGGAAAGATTACCTTGTCTGTGCATTAACTATGAAAGTGCTGATTTATATTTACAGTTGGTCCTCATTTATTGCAGTTAATCAGTTCCAGACTCTACCGCGATAGATGAATTTCCACGAAGTAGGATTCTTTATTTATATACAGTCGTCCCTCGCCACTTCACGTTTCGACTTCACTATAGCATGTAGGTGACTGTATTTGAACAAACCTCCATAGAGTGAGGCTGCAAAAGTTGAAGCGCGAAGTGGTGAGGGACGACTGTTCTGGGTTTTTTTTTATCCCTTCTGTAGTTTTTAGTTTCAAATTTCAACATAAAGGACTAAAGATATTCTATTTTTTTAATCCTCACTGGAGGGCATTTTTCTATTTATTTCATATGGGGGGTGCATATTGGTTGGTTGCCTCCTGCACAACCCCAACTGAGGCCAGGGACTGAACTGAAACTGAGGTACGTGCCCTTGACCAGAACCAAACCCGTGATTCTGGTTTACAAGCCGATGCTCTAACCGCTGAGCCAGACCGGCCAGGGCGAACTAAAGATATTTTAAACATTCACTGTTTCTAGTAGAAGGTACTTGGCTATGTTAGCATCCACAAAAGAAAAGCGTGCCCATCGGTACTATTCTTGAGCATTTGTTTTGTTTTGAATAATTGATAGAAAGGTTGTGGTGGTGACTGGAACCTCATTCTCTGTCTCGCTTTGTGTGTTTTAGGTGCTGGAGAATGCCGAAGGTGCCAGAACCACCCCTTCAGTTGTGGCCTTTACCACAGATGGTGAGCGACTTGTTGGCATGCCTGCCAAGCGACAGGCTGTCACCAACCCAAACAACACATTCTATGCCACCAAGCGTCTTATTGGCCGGCGATATGATGACCCTGAAGTCCAGAAAGACATGTGAGTAATAGCAAAAGCATAGTTATTTGCAAAGGCCACACAAGAATATTTTTAGTAGGATCCCTAGAACACCTTATCCTAGTAATTTTACGTGTCCCTTGGGGCAAGCCCTCTCCTGCCAAAGGGATGGCTCCTTCAAAAAACTAACTTTTACCTTCACAGATTACGTTTTTGCTGTGTTTAGACATGGTATATTAAGATTTGGCTAGTCGATTACTCAGCCGCGCTCGGGGTGGTACCGGCAGGGTTTGGGGGGTGGGTAGGGGGAGTGGCAATTAAAAAAAAAAAAGATTTGGCTAGTCATTCCTGAGCCATGTAAATTGGTGTTAAACTCATAAGGGAGATAGTGGCACAGGCTCTGTCATGTGCTGATCAGGTAACGTTGTAACATGTATCAATACTTCATTATTTTATTTTATTTTTTTTATCCTCACCCGAGGACATTTTTCCATTTTTTGTTCAGGTAGAGTAGGAGGGGGAGAGAGGAACAGAGAGAGAGAGAAACATCGACGTGAAGGGACACATCGAGTGGCTGCCACCCGCACGACTGACCAGAGCCGGGGACAAACTGCAACCGAGGTACATGCCCTTAGCGGGAACTGAACCCGGGTCTCTCCGGACCGCAGGCCAACGCTCTAACCGCTGAGCCAAACCGGCCAGGGCTCATTATTTTTTTATGGCCAAATAATATTGCATCGTATGGATATATACTACATTTTGTTTATCCATTTACTAGTTAATGGACATTTGTGTTGTCCACTTTTTTGTTAATCCTCACCTGAAGATGTTTTTTCATTGATTTTTTTGTAGATAGAGTGGAAGGGAGGGAGAGAGAGAAACATTGATGTGAGAGAGAGGCATCCATTGGTTGCCTCCCACACAACCCCAACTGAGGCCAGGGATCAAACCTGTAACCCAGGTCTATGGGCTGACACTCTGACCGCTGAGCCAAACTGGCCAGGGCTGTTTCCATGTTTTAGCTGTTATAAATAACACTACCATAAATACTTGCATACAGGCTTTTGTGTGGTCATGTTTTCATTTTTCTTGGCTAGACAATTAGTAATGGAATTTCTGGGTCCTGTAGTGATAACTAATTGTTTTCCAAAGCAGCTGTATAAATCTTTTGTTTGATGGGAAGTAAAGAATGTTCAGGTTTCATCAGGATGTTTTGACATGTTAATGTTTACTTTCTAAAGGGTTTCATTAAATGAATTTCCGAAGTTCTCATTGGCCGTGGATCTCTTGAGATGGAGGGTGGACATTTGTGGTGTATGGT